ACCCAAGCATGTGCCCTGATTGGGAATTGAACCAGTGACCCTTTGGTTCGCAGGCTGGCGCTTAATCCACTGTACCACACCAGCCAGGCTGAAAAGTCCTCTTATCACTCCTAGCTTTGTGGTTTACTGTTCCTAAACTCTGAACCAGTACTTTATGCTGTTTCCTCCATGACTGGAAAGTAATCCAGTCCAGCTTTTTTTTTTTTCCCAAAGATTTCATTTATTTATTTTTAGAGGGGAAGGGAAGGAGAGAGGGAGAGAAATATCAACGTATGGTTGCCTCTAGTGGGTCCCCTGCCGGAAAATGGCCCTCAACCCAGGCATGTTCCCTGACTGGGAATCGAACTGCGATTGTGTGGTTTGCTTGCCCACGCTCAATCCACTGAGCTACACAGTCCAGCTTTTGTAGTTGTTTGGTTTAATAGCACTCCCTTGAATCCATTAAACTATTCATCCGTCATCTGTCTATTGGCAGCAAATACATATATCCCCAATTTCTGCTATCACTTATGGTACTTTGCTCTACATACTTCCACTTAATCTTGTACAATTAAATTGGACAGATCATCATGGCAAATCCACATTATATATGTTATTCTCTGAAGATCTGTTTTTAATACCTAAAGTAGGATCTGAAAGCCGCAGCAGAAGACCCTAGTGAGAGAACAGATGCTCTCAAGCCACTCCTGTGGTTCCAGATAGTGAGATGACTTTTTATACAGGCAGGAAATTTGACAGTATAAAAATGAGTTGTGAATAAACTACCTTTTTCATAGAAACTTTCTGTTTTGCTTCTTACACTCTCCATATGATCATGACTATTAGATTCTTATATATAAATATATAATTCTGTATCCAAGATCTAGTTATCCTGTTTTATTTTTATGATCCACGTCCACTTCTCCAATACTTTCTGCTTGCTCTCAAGTAGGATAAACTACTAATTCCTTGGCCCTTGTCTAGATAACCTAGCTTCTAAGTCTTTGGTTTATATAATGACATGTGCATAGCTCTGTCCTGTCATGACTCCCTCTTGAATATCCCTTTTCCATATCAACTTTGTATCCATGTCATAACTGTTTTCTCTACCTCTTGGTTTCAAGTTACTGACATCTCTCTGGAGTATATTCAAAACCAAGGTTTTGTTTGCCTTTTTACTTTGCATTTAGGGATTAGCAGTGAAGAGTGGTGTAGAAGGAGATACAATTCTAGATACGCAGCAAAGCCATGATAAAGAGATAAGTTTGTCCATTCTGTTTTCTCTTTGACTAAGACTATAGTGAGATTTTTTTTTCACAGAAGGCTAGATTTACATAAAAATTCATTTAATTTCCTTATCTTATTTTTTAATGATTTTGTGGGGTTTTTTTAGAGAGAGGGTAAGGGAGGGAGAGAAGCATCGATGTATGAGTGAAACATCAGTTGGCTCTCACACATGAACCAACTGATTCACAACCCAGGCATGTGCTCTGACCAGGAATCAAAGCAGCAACCTCTTGCTTTGTGGGGCAACACTCAACCTATAGAGCCACATCACCCAGGACTTAATATAGTTATTCTTAAAAGGTGGTTGACGCATCAAATGTTGTCACTTTCTTTTAAATTTTCTTTAGCCCTAGTTGGCATGGCTCAGTGGATTGAGTGCTGGCCTTCCAACCAAAAGAGATCACTGATTCAATTCCCTGTCAAGGCACATGCCTGGATTGCAGACTAGGTCCCCATTTGGGGGCAAACAAAAGGCAACCGATTGATGTTTTTTTCCTTCTCTTTCTCCTCTCTCTGAAAATAAATAAATAAAATCTTAGGGGAAAAAAGGTTAATAGTCTTAAATTTATTTTTAAAAATAATAATAAATTTTCTTTTTTAAATAGGAGCAAGGGATAGAGAAATGTGGAAACAGAGTAAATAAAGTGGTAAACCCCATAGTATAGGCAAAGAGATTTTTTCTTTTCTCTTAACTGGGAGAAGAAGGAAGATACAGAAACTGAGATAAGTAGGTAATAATCATGAATATAATATCTTATATTCATTAAGCACCATGTGCTTTGCATTGTGCTAAGCACTTTATATTCATTGTCTCATTTAATTTGCACAACTGTGAGTATTATTACTCCCTTATTACTTTACAACTGAGAGAACATATTTAAAGGCCCTAAGTTACTAGCCCAAGACCACTCAGCTTGTGAGCAGCGCCAATCTAACTTCAAGTCCACATTGTCAACAGCTCTGCCTCTCTAGGTAGACCTGTTTGTAGATGAAATTTATGTTTGTTGAGTAGGAATAAAGTTCATCTTTCAATTCATAAAATAACCTAGAAATTTTTAGATCTGTCTCTATATCTCTTCATAAGAAAAGAAAACTTAAGTTCAAAGATGTTAAGTAATTCAAATCCAAATAGTTAACCAAAAATACTCAGGTAGTGCTTTCCTCTGTATTTGAAAGGCTGGAATTACTTACTTTTTATTTTATTTACCAAGTTTAATTGTATCCATTTATAAATTGTAATGATATTGTCGTCATGTTATTCATACTCTATACAGAACTAATTTATCAAGATATTACCAATTTTCTTTTGTTATTCAATTGCCTCATCCAAAAAACTATAAAAATCATTTGTTGGTTTTTATCATTTTTGTATAATTTATACATTTTATACATGAATAAATAATTTAATATATGCACCCTATATTATTTTTTATGAAATTGGTATTTTCGAGACTGGTGAATGAGATTAGAAAGAAGAGTAGGGCTTAGAAAAGAAAGCTCTGACTAGATAGTGTAGCAAAAGTGATGGCGTATAAAAAAGCAAAAAGTATTCTTGACAGTAATTTAACTGTAGACTCTCAGGAAAAGTGGGCCGAAGGTGTTCAATATTAAATGAATAAATACTTTACTATTCTATACTGCAGTTATGTAAAAGACTATTGAGTGATAAGCATTGTTGACAGTGGACCATTTACATATGGTTGTGATAAATGTCAAGATCTAAAAGAGGAAGAAATTGAGGCTGATGGTCCTTGAGAAGATGGGTCAGTTATACCAGGAATAGAATACCTTTTTAGATAACACATATAAATATTCACATGCTATGGATAATAATAGCTTTAATAGAAACCATCATAGAAATTACCCATCCTAAAGTATCATTTGGAGAAAAATTGTTGATAAGATTGTGGTTCCTCCCCAAGCACACAGCCAATCTAATATGATTGACATAAAATAAATTATAAAGCCTATATATAGTATAATGTAATGGTATGTTGAAGTATATTGTGATAAGTATGAACAGAAGGGTCAGATCTATTCAGTAGAAAGTTGGCTGGAAAGGACTTTTCATTTTTTCTTAAATTATTCTAGGACAAGGTAGACTCTAACTGGGTATTAAAAATATGTTACAATAGATCATAAGGACCATGGCTCTGGCCCTCAAGGAGCTTGAAATGTATTGAGGGATAATTAAGTAAGCAGATAACTACAATTCAGTGTATAAAGTGCTAATACCCACTAAGGTAGAATTATTATTTTCTATGATATGAATCCTCAAGCACTTTGCATAGTGTTGAGCATATGATAGGCATTCAGGTATTTGATGAATTGAAACATACCTGACTTTTTTTTAAAAGTATTAACCTGGACTTAATTTTTACTTAAAACAATGTCTTTAAATTTTATATCAAAATATGAATACTCTTCATGCTGCTATAATAATTTCATGCTGCTATATAATAATTGACCATATAAATCAGCCAATATCTATAGCTAACTCTTGAATGTAACTGGTAGTAGACAGCAGGAAAGAATTTGTACATTAGGAAGAGTCATGTCTCTCAGTGAGCCCGTAATAAATGTTCAAAAATAATTATTTCATTTTTAAAGTTTCAGAATTAATTCAATAATTTCTCTACCTACACTGTCAAACTCTTTAAATGAATTTCTTATTCTTAATTATTAAGATTAATTGTGATGATCAGAGAGAACATGAAAAGTATGATTTCGTGCAATAATAAACACTGTATTAACCAGTGGGAACTCTGAACAAGTAAATGAGAGTCACACCCTTGGCAAATCTGAAGAAAATGGTTTACAATTCTTATGTGATATACTAGGGACACTTTACACATGATTGGAGTTAGAACTAAAGCATATGAAAAATTAGAGTTCAATGCTAAATTCTTTGGCAGTGACTAAGGGCCAAAAATATAGAGATTAAAACATATAGCCTGGGGAATGGGGCAGGAAAACACAAGCATGTATAGTGTGATTCAGTGGTACAGTAGAAATAGGTACAAAGTACCATTGGTGTGTGAAGGAAGAGCAACTGATGGTACAGTGGAAGGAAAAAGTGGTATGAATTGGATTAGTCAGATAGACTTATGACTATAGGCAATGTGATAGTATTTTAGTGCAACACTGTCTTATTTGTTACCTGATATATTCTTTAGGAAATTGTACAGTACTTTTCCATTTTCGAAATGAGATTATAAACCCCCAGAGGCTATCTATAAGTCATTTATTTGTTGAGCATGCCAGTAGCTCCTCAAATTACAGTATAATTTCTCATTATACTGTAGTGTACCAATTATAAACTATATTCAAAGATAGGTATATTTAATGCAGTGAACAAATAAGATATCTACTTTGTCTACTATTTACTATGTTGTGTATATCTAACTAGTAGGAATAATTAATATGCTTCAAGTGTACAGACTATCAAATTTCTCTTAAATATGATTGTGTTTTCCGGACCATAAGATGCACCTAGCTTTTAGAGGAGGAAAATAGGAAAACATTTTTTGAAGCAAAAATGTGGTAAAATATTTAGGAACATAAATAACATAATATTTCACCAATGTGAATGTAACTCTACATTCAGACTATAAGATCCACTCCCATTTTCCTCCCAAATTTGGGGGGTAAAGTGCATCTTATAGTCTGAAAAATACGGTGATTAGTTTTACTTAATTTAACAGTCCTTTTTCTTTTGTTATTTTTTTCTTAAGGGTCTACTGTATTTGCTGGTAACAGACCAGGGGTTTCTTACTGAAGAAAAAGTTGTTTGGGAAAGCCTACACAATGTTGACGGCGATGGAAATTTCTGTGACTCGGAATTTCATCTGCGGCCTCCATCAGATCCTGAAACTGTATACAGAGGACAACAAGATCAAATAGATCAGGTACATTTGTTTTGTCTTCTTTATTTTGTTTAAAATGCTCATCCCTTTCAAATATGAATTTAGTTATTCAAAACTTTTGAAGATTTATTCATCAATATACTTGTGAAATTTTCCTGACACTTCCTAAATAGATAAGTGATCATTCTGTATGTACATTAATTACATACTTCAGAAGACCACATCATACAGAACTGTGATGGTCATGGTAAAGAGTTTGAATTTTATTTCAGTTGTAGTAGGAAAGATGGTCCAAGTATACCACATAGAAGTGACATGATCTACTTCACCTTGAAAAAAATTTTTTTAAATTTATTTTTAGACAAAGGGGTGGTGAGGTAGGGGAGAGGACAGAAACATCAATCAGTTGCCTCTCACACACCCTTTACTGGGGACCTGGCCTGCAACCCAGGCAAGTACCCTGCAACTCAGGCAAGGTCGCTATTTTGATTAGGGTACTAATCAAAATAGCGACCCTTTAGCTTATGCGGCAACACCCAAGCCACTGAGCCAAACCAGTCAAGGCCGCTTCACCTTTTTATAAGGTTGCTATGTGGCCCTGGCTGGGCGGCTTAGTTGGTGGTAGTGTGGGGCACATGCACAAGGTGGCCAATTGATATTTCTCTCTCACACTGGTTTCTCTCTCTCTCTCCCACTTCTCCCTCTGGGATCAGTGGGCATGTCCTTGGGTGAGGATTAAAAATGGAGGAAGGAAAGGAGGGAGGGAGAGAGGGAGGGAGGAAGGAAGGTAGGTAGGTAGGTTGGTTGGTTGCTAGATGGAGACTACAGAGGAAGGACATAGGACTAGTAGTCCAAGCAAGAAGGGATGATGTTTAGCCTTGGGTGGTAGAGATGAAGAGACAAGTACGTATTTGGGGTATATTTTGGCTAATAAGAAAACATAGAAAAGAGGGAGTCTTGAAGATAGCATGCACTGGGTAAAGTGTAGATGGGTATTCTAAGCCTTACAGTCCAAGTTAAGGAAGAGTAGATTAGTGAGAAGAATATCCATTTAGAACTGAGACATAAGATTTTTGCCTGCAACAGGTGAGCAGGCTTGCCGCCACAATGTTTATTACTAGAAGTGGACTGGTAATGTGACTTCTCTAACTGAGGCTAAAATATTGTTATGTTAAATGGTTAACCAATGTTTTGCTAATAACAATTTGAGTTCATAGAGACCACGTTCATTTAGCCAATAGTAATTGAGCAATATATTCTTGGCACTATAACTAGGTCCTGGAGACAGAAAGATAAATCATTTGATTTTGCCCTCAAAGATTTTGTAGTTCTAGCAGTTATTTGACCAACTAATACTATATGTTGTTATATGATGGCAATTTGAATAGCAAAGAATGAATGCACAGAGGAATACTTGATTCAAACAAATGTCAGTATTTTTAGGACTTTCTGCTTTTCTTTGACAGTCATAATAATAAACATACTCATTGTGTTTCAGAAGCTGTATAGGGACATTGTTTTTTAGTATCACTTAAGAAAAAATGTAAACAGTTTTTCTAATCATTATATGTACAAGATATTGGAACAGAGAGAATGGTGGTAAAGCAACAGCTTGTCACAGGAGGTCCAGTTGTAAGGTACTGAGATTACATACACCCTCCCACAAAGGCAGTAGCAAGGAAGGAGTGGATTGAAGACCAGGGGACTTGGCAAAGAGTGGAGTTTGAAGAATTGAGGGAAAAATTTGAAGGACAGATTCTTGGTATCAGTAAGATGGTCATGCTAGATAGTACAAGGACTTCACAAGCAACACACCCTATGCAATTTTTTATTTTTATTTTTATTTTTTAATTTTAAGAAGGTGCACAGAGTAGTCAAGTTTCACTCAGCACTAATTCCTAGTGAAAGTGGGTGTTAAGTTAGATAATACAACTTTTGACCAAAGAGGCATCACTTTTTCTCACAAGAAATAATCTGCATGTGTATATGGTTAAGTGGTTAAGTAATTGAGTATGACTGTATGGAGGACAACTCTGTTGACTTTAAAAATCTTGTTTTGGAAGAGTTTTAATAAATAATTTTGAAAAATGTGTATGGTTTTTTTAAACATAAGATTTTCATGCCCTGGCTGGTATGGCTAAGTGGATTGGGTGCTAGCCTGGGAACCAAAAGGTTGCTGGTTCAATTCCCAGTCAGGGCACATGCCTGGGTTGCAGGCCAGGTCCCCATTAGGGGGCGTGTGAGAGGCAACCACACATTGATGTTTCTCTTCCTCTCTTTCTGCTTCCCTTCCCCTCTCTCTAAAAATAAATAAATAAAATTTAAAACAATAAAAAAGTGAACAGAAGATTTTTGTTACATTAGATGGAAAAGAAAACAGATTACAATAATTTTAAAATTTTTTCAAATGCCTTATATACTGTTTCTAGAAAGAACTTCAAATGAATCCCAAAAATATTTAGAACAATGGCAGCATCACTGAAATAAGTTTATATTCCCAAACAGAAATACTTGGATAACTTTGTTTTTCACATTTCAGCTCTAGTATGTTTTTTAAAAGCCATTCTCATAGTCTTGTAGATGTAACCTCTATGTTTACACTTACTAGTTCTTGGGTAAAGTTTCACAGCTAAAGATGGTGATAATTTAATTTCTTAGGACTACCTTATGGCATTGTCTTTACAACAAGAACAGCAGAGCCAAGAGATCAATTGGGAACAAATACCTGAAGGAATCAGTGATTTGGAACTGGCAAAGAAACTCCAAGAAGAAGAGGACAGACGGGCTTCTCAATATTACCAGGAACAGGAACAAGCAGCAGCCGCTGCTGCTTCTGCCTCTGTTTCCACACAGGCTCCGGTAATACTAGTGTTCTTATTCTTTTTTATAAATGAATAATGGTTATATTTATTAATAATGCAATCTGTATCACATGCTATGAGAAATGTTTTACATTAAAATTTTTTAATTTAATTATTTTTAACTATACTATTCTGACTTTTACTCCTATCCCAGCCCACCCCCTTAGTGTTCTTATTCTTTTTTTTAAAAATATTTTATTTATTTATTGAGAGAGGGGAAGGGAAGGAGAAAGAGTGGGAGAGAAACATCAATGTATGGTTGCCTCTCATGCATCCCCTGCTGGGAACTGGCCTGCAACCCAGGCATATGCCCTGACTGGGAATCGAACCTCGATACTCTGGTTCGCAGGCCCGCGCTCAATCCACTGAGCTATGCCAGCCAGGGCTGTTCTTATTCTTAAACATAATGATCACTATAACTATAAAAATATTCATGCTTAGATAAAAATTTTTAATTAGGTATTGATTGACTCTTCAATTATGTTAGCATTTTAGCAGCCATTAGGTTTTATAACATTTTTATTATCTTAATATTTTTTTCATTTAGTGATGTTATGTTTCCTAAGGTTCTGATGACAAGGTTTTTCAAATTTATTTTTGAAGTTACTAAATATCTGCAAAGAATATAAAATCAATTTAAATCGTCTTTTCTGTCAGTTGGAGGACAGTGTGAGGTACAATGGAAAGAATGTAGACTTCTGAGCCAGATGGATATGGATTTGCATTTCCTGCAACCCCTTAGACAAAGCCCTCTGCTTCTTAGCCTCATTTGCCCTGTCTGTAAAATAGAAGATAAACTTAACTCTTAGGTTGTGGTCGAGAGCAACTAAACCCAGTGTCTGACATGTACTAAGTATCCTACAAAGATTAGTAGTTTCCTACCTTTTACTTTTCCTAGTTGAATGTTTTAAGCACTGAAAATGTGACTATTAAGTAGATTTCTATATGTTAACTCTCATTGCATTAGTGGTTTTTAAAAATCCCATGTTAATGTTTAACTGTAGTTTGCAAGCATTGGTCCTTTGATCTGTGTGTATAAGAAAGCAAGTTGCCCTTTAAGGGCTGAAGAAGATTTAAGTACAGAGGTCTCCGGTAAAATACATATCTATTTCTAGTTCAAATACTCACTACCACACGCTTAAAAGTGAAGACCTACCATTTATGATTAGCTTTTCATTTGAAAATGTCTCTTGTTTCACTGGATGCACTTATTCCACATTCTGTTTACAGCATTTTTGTTCTTTTAAAATCTGTTTATTATGGTATTTACTGTGGTCTTGGAGAACTATTATAGTTTACCAAATGGTGTCATTTTCATTAACATTTCTCTAAGCTTCATCATAAATATATCTTGAATTTGAGGCTTTGGGCAGTGTAATATTACAATGTTATTTATTGTTTGAAGTTCTATTTACTTAGGCTAATAGATACATTAATTATATTTATCCAGAATGGTAGAAGCAACTACTAGATACCATGTAACATAACAAGTCTATACACCAGTAGCTTCTTTTTCCATTGAGTCCTTTCACTCATGTGGTTTTTTTTTTCTAGATAACTATGATTAAGTACCTTAGAAAAGTTAAGGTAATTTCTTCCTGTTTATTTTTCCTAAAGCAAAGCCAGCCAGCACAAGCCTCTCCATCAAGTGGAAAACAATCTGGGAATAGTGAACGTAAACGAAAGGAACCTCGAGAAAAAGATAAAGAAAAAGAAAAGGAAAAAAATAGTTGTGTTATTTTGTAACAAGTGTTGGATTCTATTGGAACCATCTGTATTTCTTAAGAAACAAAACCACAGGAGGAAAGGAAGAAAAACCGATAAATACCGTCTGTGCCTGATTTCCCAATGGATTTTGTTCATGTTTTTCAGGGGAAAGGTTGTTACTTAGCTACAATCAAACTTTTTCAAGTCACACAGTACACTCTTTATGAGCTGGAGTTTCATGTTACAAGTTGGAAATGCTGTGTGTTGTCATTCATGAAAAATACTGCACTTGTAGCCAAATAAGCAAATCACAGCAAACTTTGTGTCATAGTGACATTCATAACTCCTATCAGTTAGTAAGCTATTTTATCTTCTGTTCTAACAATGAATGGAGGTAATTGACTTTGTCTGATTCCTTCCTGAAAGCTAACTATTAGCACAATAGTTTCTGAAATTAATTTCTTCAATGTTAAATCCACAAGAAACCAGGGGTTTAATGTAGGGGTTGAAAAAGGAAAAAAGACAAAAAATAACAGGAATAAATAACTCCTAATTGTATATCAGAGTAGTTCAGCCCTTGAACAGCTTTACCTTTCTTTAGGAATGTACATTTTAGATTTCATCATGAGAACTGATCACGCAGCTTGGATTTAATTAGACAAAATGGAGATTTGTATTTCTTTTCTAGTAGCAAAAAATTACATAACACTAATCTCATCTTATCAAAAGCAGATATTATGACTTTGTAGTGTTGTGAAATTTTGAGGAGTTTTGAAATCTTTCACATAGGTAACTTGGACCACAGTTAACTGTTTCCTGGTAGCGTAGCGAGAGTAGGAAGGAAACCACAGTGGGTGCGAGGCTTTGTAAATATGGGCGTGGAGAGAAGAAAATGGTTCAGTGTCTACCTTTTTCTAGAATTACCTTGAACCTTAAAATTTAAATCATGTTTATTTGCTAGGAAATTAAGTATACTTACTAAAACCAACAAAAAAGCACATTTCTGAAAGAAAGTTAGAGATCATTTCTGAGTCTAGTAAAAAAGAATTAATAAAAATCTGTTGGAGGAATTTATATAAAAGCAATCAGATTTTTTAACTTACGGGAACCAAATAAAACTATAAGATCTTGTAGTGTTTGTAGGACTCAAAAAGAATATTTATTGAATTTAATCATGAGGCAACACATATGTTCCTGTATTTCTAGGTATAGTTCGAAAAACTATCCTTAATAGTCCCTTTTTATATGCTTTATATTTAAAAGTTTGTTTTAGTCATTTTTGAAACAGCTATTGCTGCTGCAAGTAGTTATGTGATTTACATTCTAAGCCTCAGTAAATTTAAGAGCATCAGTCTAACTTGAGCATCCACTTGGAGAATGTCATTTGTGGTCTTGGGTGACAATAGACTACCAAAAAATATGGTCTAAATGTCCTTAACATTCTCTGTGATCTAAGACAAGCTATAGGATTAGTCTGTGTGTAAAAAGTTAAGTCTTATTTATGGAAGGAATTATTCTAAGGGAAAAATCCAGGGTCAAGCTGTATCTTTTATGTCTTATGTATTGCATGTCTATTTATGTTATACCATTTGTTATTTCTTCAAATTTCCTATGCTAGCATGATAATCATCAGAGAACCTGTTTGGGATATAAAACTTTGATGTAAAATATTTGGTGCATCTTGATACTAACACAGAATATGCATACATTGGTAAAGTAATCAAATGTACCACAGAAGTCTCGCTGGCTCAAACAAGTTGACCTTAGTCCAGGTTTACTCTTGATGTCACTCTGGTTGAAGGAGGAAACTAAAACCTCAGGGTTTGTTTTTCCCAGAACAGATAGTAGTGATAGTGCATTATATTTTAATAAGAAAAAGTGAAACAGTGAGTCCTGAGAAATTTTACAAAGCGTATTTGAGGCATATTTTCCCATGATTATATACTGATCTATTTATTGCCCTCAAAAATGTATATGTAGAAGCTATTCTTCTGTTATTTGCTCCTGTTGTCTTACTTTGTTCTAAAGGTGGTACTGCCATTCTCCATTCCCTTGGAAACACAAAGTAGCTCGCTCAGAAGCAGCAGTGCTGTCAGATAAGTAGATGTCAGTGTGTACTCACAAGAAGTAGTTAAACATGTAATGTGTTTGTTAACTTAACCTTTTTCTATGTTGGATTTCCAAGTCAGATTTTCTTACATTCCTGGAATGTTTGATATACCAAGAGTAATAATGATAAAATGTTTGCTTTGATTACTATGGGGGAAAAATGAAATGTTCGATTCTATTAAAACAAACTTCTCAGAGATACTGGTTTCCCATCCTTGAAAATTATAAAGAATTTAGAGCTATTGTGTCTTTATTTTCTTATATTTTTCTCAAGGCAACACATTATATCCAGACATTTCATTGCTAGTTTGGGTACATTGGAATTTGGTGGTGGTGTATTAAACTCTTTCCTTCACAGTATTTTGCAGTACTTGAAAATTGTTATCTGTATACTGCTAGCAGCAGTTAGAAGTCAAACATTTTTGTTTTTAATATTCTTAGGCTAGATTAGGGGCACATTTACACTAACACTGGCTAGTAAGAGAGATACATGAATGAATGAAATGATCACTACACTTTCACATACTTTCAAAATCTATTCCTTAAGGTTAGTGAACAGTCTTTATTAACAATATGAATTGTTTTCATATCTAATACTGTTGAATCAATAATGCCATGATTACAATAGGTTATCAGCATTTAAAAGCACTTACTGTATATTTATAAAGCAAGGATCCATTAGTTTAATTAGATTCTTAAAGGAATCTGGGAATTTTCCTCAAATTTAAGAGTCAACATATGAAGAATACAAAGACTAAGCAGTTTGAGGTGGTTAAAATTGGCAGTGGCTGCTTCCTGTAATACGCTGGTCTATTGTGCTTAGGTAAGGTAACTGCTATGTTTCGAGGTGTCAGGTTGGCTGAACGAGGCATAAATTTAAGTTTAGGATTAGGCATTGGAATGTATCTTGTTTCATTGCCTCACATTTTTAGTATTTGACTACTTACCCCTTATTATGTTTTGAATTCTTCCTCATACTTCTTGATCTTAGTTTTGATTAAGCAAGTTAGAGTCAGAGATTACTTGACCGAACCCAACGTTAACCATTTCGTACTTGCAGCAAAAACTTATTTTAACGAATCGCCACTTCAGCTCTGTAAGAGACAGAAGATCCTGAGAGAAAGGGACTAGAAGTCAAATAGATATTTAAGGAAAGAATTATTGTGGTCCCTACATGAATGTAGGCAGACGAAGCAGAAAAATCAAGGCAAGAATTTCCAGAACTGTCCTCAAACAATCTCACTTATTTAAAAAAATTCTTTTAGAAAGCGAAACAAACTTTCCTATTCAATATACCAGTTATTCCCAATGTGATGGAAAGCTGTGTGCTTTACCGATCACACACTGCTTGGGCATATAACTTAAACTATAGTTGTGAGTTATGTTTGATAGAATAAGATGGAGACATTAAGATAGTTCTAGTTTAATGAATTGAAAGTGTGGAATTCTGAATTATCTAAAAACCTGGCTTTTAAGTTGCCATGGTGGACTTTCTGTGCCTCAATTTACTCTAAATATATAAATGACACTTTTTTAGTGCTTTGCACTCATGAATAAAGGGCATAGTATAAGCACAAAGTGTTACCTAAGGAATTATAAATATTGCACAGCTTTTGTTCTTGGAAGTCAGGTTTTTCCCCAATGACTATTTCTTAAGCCCGTTTTTTAATGCTGTCATAATCTGTAGAATTACCAGGTCTTTGAGTATGGCATCATCTCCTCCCAAAATGTCTTTTACAGTTCTTTTGTGTTCTGTGGACTAGAGGGTCAAAATCAAGGGTATTTGGGAAGAATAAAAAGCACTGAAACTGCATTTTTCCCAGTACCTTTCATATATATAAATATTTAGATTCTCTGCCTTTTCCTCCATGGAACAAAGTACAATGGTATCAGGTTATTAGTACCATATATGTAAACTTTATTGCGTGGATGGAATGCATTTAGATCTCAATTACTGCCATTTCTAGGGCTACTTAAATTATTTTTTAGTATAAAATGTCATTTGATAAGTGAATTTTAAATTTTTTTAGAGAATAATGTTGAAGGAACTCATCAGAATCAGAGTTCTTAGGTTCTGTAGTATTTTTTTCTAAGATTTTATTTATTTTTAGAGAGAGGGAAAGAAGGGGAGGGAGAAAGAGAGATGTCGATCGGTTTCCTCTCACATTCCCCTCACTGAGGACCTGGCCCACAACCCAGGCTTGTGCCCTGGCTGGGAATTGAACTGGCAAATCCTTTGGTTTGCAGGCCAGCATGCATTCTCCTGAGCCACACTAGCCAGGGCAGGTTTGGGAATTTAGTGTCTTTTTTTTATAACTGATGTCAAACACCTGTGTCGCTTTTGGGACAACATGAAGAATTGAGGTTATTGTTCTTGGTGACACTGTAACACAAACTAAAATTTAAAATAGAAGGCTTCCTGAACAAAATAAATTGCAGAAGGCAGATAATGGAGTCTAAGTGACATATTGCAGGACCCAGATAAAGTTAACTTTGAAGATCTAAATTTTAATTCACGCGTGTATTTGATTTAATCCTCATGTTTCTGCTTTTAGTAATTTGAGTTTAATGAATTGATATGCATACATATTTTTAAAAATATTTTATTATTTATTTTTAGAGACGGGATGGGAAGGAGAAAGAATGGAGAGAAACATCAATGTGTGGTTGCCTCTCATGCGTCCCCTGCTGGGACCTGGCCTGCAACCCAGGCATATACCCTAGACTGGGAATCGAACTAGCGACCCTTTGCTTCACAGGCCCGTGCTCAATCCACTGAGCTACACCAGCCAGGGCTGCATACATATTTTTATGTGAAGGACTCTAGTTTCTAATTGCACATCTATCTCAAAAACATTAAACTCAAGAACAGCGTAAAAGTCTCCAACTACTGCCTCAAGTTCAACTTCATGCTATTTTTCTGAAAAAGGAAGAAATGTAGACTTGTCTGCCTAGAACTGATGTTTTTTAGGGCATGGTACTATCCCAGATAAGGTGTTGAAATCCCATGGCAGAAATACAAAACCTAAGCTTTAAACCACAGTAGCTTAAAGAAAAAAAATTGTATTGTTTTTCTACAAAAATCTACTTAATCAGATATTCTAAGAGTTCCCTCAAATCATGTAGTAACTTGTCACCAATAACTAAGAACATTATATCCATCCTTACTGTAATGTCCTGCTTTGAAATGTAGGGATGCCTCCTGGATAGAACATGCACAAAGACAATTTTTTCTAAAGGTGATCCTGGCTTCATTGGCTTCAGTAGCTACAACTTTAAACAGGAAGTCAGGAAATTTAATTGCCCATGTAAATTCCAAGTCAGTGACCTGTCCAAGTGAACGTTATAACTGACTGCTGAGCAGTTCTAACCAATGGGATGTATGTTAAGACTAAGCTTGTCATTTAATCTTTGAAAAGATGAAATGTCCTGTGTGTCTCAAATTTGTCATATTCTTGTTCCTTTTTACATCTTGTGTGAAATAATATTTTTTTCCAGAGTATACAGTAGGACATCTAAACTTTACAGATTTTGAAAGATGAGGATTTGAAAAGCTTCCAGTGGTTTTTGTTACAATGCTTTATCTTCCTCAATAAAATGACAACTGTTGTTTTCACAGATCTGCACATCACAAGTAAGACAATATGATAGAAGACTGATGTATGATTGTTACACAACAGTCAGCAAAAGGAATAATCTTCACTTGTGAAGCTTCAGAGAAACCCTGAAAGTCATTTCCTAACATTAGTGCATGTGAGTCTTTTCTCCTTGAATTGTGCAGAACAATTGAATTGTGGCACATATTAGGGGAGTAGCAAGTGAAATGTAAAGACTGTAAAGAAAGTGATCTTGAAATACAGCAAGAATAAATAAGTTTTCTTCCTTTACTTTACTGTCAGACTATTTGGGTCAAGAAGTTGCTATGAAATGTCAGAGATCTCCGTGCCCGGCCGAGACTGGCCCATTGAAACAAGGTTCTCAACGAGTTTAAACATACAGTGTATGAGTGCCTGTCTTTTCTCCTTTTTATTTACTATCTTAATGCCCTTCCTACTTCTGAGATAGTTCATCTGTTTTGCTTTATGACCAGCTTTTGACCATTCTTAATATCAGTTTAAGAATAATAGCAACCTTAGAACTGATAGAACACTGAACTACATTTTTTGAATAGACAGCATAAAACACCTACCCAACTTAGGGCTGAATTGAATTTCTGTGAAAGTTACTCTTTTAAATACTAATTACGCTAAAACTATATAACTCTAAAAACTGTCAAGATTCAAAAGTTTTACTTTTGGAGGATATTCCTTAAAAAAAAGATATATTGAGCATAGATGGGAAAGTATAAAATATTTCTGACAGGATTATTCAGTATTCATTTAATTTCATGTTTGTTACTGTACCACAAAGATGGTGTCATACTTGGATTAAAATGTTGGATTTCTTGTTAATATACTCAAAACTGTAACCAGTGGTAACACTCTTAGTATTTTTTATTATAGATTCTATTTTATTTCAATAAACTTTGATATTTAGACCAAACAGTCTTTCTGCTATGTGTATGCATCTCATTAAGCTACTTCTTACAAATATGGGTGGGGAAATGGAGAATTAACATACTGATTTACATTTACTTAGGATGAAGTCTTAAAATACTTGGACCAATTCTTGATAAAGACAGGTGCCCCCCAACCCCAGGCAGTGAAAGAAGCAATTAGCTCTATACCATACAGTTAATTACTTGATCCCAATGGTAGATTTGTTTTGTTATATTGGATACTTCTGTCTTCTTAGAGGACTTAAGTTAGACCTGAGAATGAATCAATTTCTCTCTACACTAAGCCAATCATAGGGTCAAGTTTTTGTACAATTTAATGTCTAAATCCGCTAATGTCTGATGTTTCTCTGTGAAAGTTTTTGTAGACTCCACAGCCCTCTCGGCAGAATGATTTATTCCACACAGTGTTTTGCTGACCTCCTCTCACTGTAGCACTTAAGCTAGACTGTGAGCCTTTTAAGGACCAAGATCATGTCTTACTCGCTTTGATTTTCTTGGCACATTACATAATCTTTGGTACTTTAAATGAACTTGAGTATCTACTAACAGGAATTTTTTATTTTAAATATTTTATTTAATTTTAGCGGGGGGGGGGGGAGAAAGAGAAGGTGAGAAAACATCAATGTGTGGTTGTCTCTCGCACACCCCATACCAGGGACCTGGCTCACAATCCAGGCATGTGCCCCGACTGGGAATCAAACCCACTTTGGTTCACAGGCCAGCACTCAACCCACTGAATCACACCAGCCAGAGAGGAATTTTTTTAATTATATTTTATTGATTATGCTGTTCCAGTTGTCCTGATTTTTCCCACATTGCCCCCTGCCACCCAGCACTCCCATTCCTTCCAGTGATCCAAACGCCGTTCTTCATGTCCACAGGTCATGCTTTGGCCGTTCCATTTCTTTAACTGTATTTTATATCCTCATGGCTATTCTATATACAGAAATTTAAAAAAACAACACCTGCATTATATAGCTATTGCTTGCCTGTTCTTTAAATGAGTTGGGTTATTGAATCCGTTTTTCCCTTTAGCATGAAAGTTATGTACATAGAAAGAACTAAAATCCTTAACTTTTTATCCATGCCCTCCTCTCTGATTTTCCCTGGGGATCATCCTACATCCTCCTAGAGCCAATGGGAGAGCAGGAAGAATAGCAGCCTCAGCAAAACCAAGGTGAGCAGCATTGTTCCACCCCCATCTCACAGCCTTCTTGCGGGGGCCCTCTCCTCACTTTGTATTGTCCTGTGAAGTGGGCACTGATTCATTTGTTGGAGCTGAGATCTGAAGACAAGCGGTCTAATCCAGAATCTGTGCTTACAAATCATGTCTGAAAGAGGACAAGAAACCCAGGCCGTCTGTGTTCAAAATTTGACTGGGCTTTTCAGGTCACGTTTGATTCAAACCTTGCTGTAATCTTCAAAATTGGGTCTACTAATCTTTATTGTGCTCTGAATTCTTAGGATCAAGTTAATTCTGCATGGCCTGTTTTCTCATCTCTAAAATGGAGTAATTTTTACCTTCTTGAAATTGGTGTAATGTACATAGTGTCATACACATGATAAAGTCAATAAACTGTAGCATTGTTACTACCAGACTAGGGACTGTTTGGAGTGAAGATTGGAACAATTTACAAAGATTATCAGTGGTCAATAAGCACATGAAAACATGCTCAACATCACTCATCAGCAGGGAAATGCAAAACAAAAACCATAAGATAGTTCTGTATACCCACTACAATGCTTAAAATTAAAAAGACTGACAATACTAAGTATTGGCGAGTCAGCAAAGTAATCTGGACTCTTTACATTGCTGATGTAAATTGGTACCACTTCAGAAAACTGGCAGTTTTCTGTCGTGTTAAATATATGCTTAATAGTGTATATCTATCTATCTATCTATCTATCTATCTATCTATAATCTATCTATATATCTATATATCTATATATCTATACCTATATATCTCCCCATCTCAGCAATTCCACTCCTGGATACTCACTCAAGAGAAATGAAAACATGTTTGCAAACAAATATTCATAGTAGTTTTATTCATAATAGTCAAAAACTGTCAACTCAAATTTCTATCAATAAGTGAGAAAGTGAAAGCATAAAAATTCCATACAATGAAATACTATGCAGCAACAAAAAGAAGCCAGATACAATGCAAAGCTGAATTACAAAACTATTATGTTGAACAACAGAAGCCAGGTACAAAAGACATTATGATTCTGTTCATGTGGAACTCCAGGAAACATAAAATCTGTAGCAACAGAAAGATGAGCGGTTGCCTGGGGCCAGAGATGTGGATTGTGATGGCCAGGAAAGGGCACAAAAAACTTTTAGAAATGGAAATGTTTTTCATCTCGATCACAGTAGTGGTCACTTGGGTGCACACATTTGCCAAAACTCATTAAACTGTATACTTCAAATGTGTGCATGATATCACTTGTAAATTTTACTTCAAAAAATTGTAATTATATTTCTGTGTATTAACAGCAAACCATTAAAACCTGAAATTTAAAAAAATCCATTTATAATAACATCAAACAACATACTAGATAAAAATTTAACAAAATTTTAAGACCTATATATACACTGAAAACTAGAACTTCAGTCACTTCATTTCTGTCATCGTGTGTACCTACTTGGAGTTTTTATGTTTAAAAGTTTAAAATACTTAAAACTGAGTAAGAACTAGGAAGTGTACTATTTTTACTCAGTAAATCCAAATTTTAGTTGATGCAAAAATATTTTATTGGGCCCTGGCCTGGCAGTTCAGTTGGTTAGAGTGTCATCCTGAGATGCCAAGGTTTAGTTCAATTCCTGGTCAGGGCAAATGCAAGATGCAACCAATGAACACATAAATAAGTGGAACCACATATCGAGAACTCTCTTCCCCTTCCCCTCTCTCTCAAGTCAATAAATATGATTTTTATAAATTTTACTGAATTTTAATATATTTTAAATTGAAAATTATTTTAAAACTGAATAAAGGAAATGCTTATACAGAAGATAATTTTATCATATAGAAAAGAATTCATTTAAAAAATATTTGCTTTCTGATATCAAATACATTACATATTCCACTGGTCTTAGCTGCCCTGCACTGGAGGAAATGATTTGAAGACACTCGTCTAAGTGTGTGCCTATGTTTGAACCTTGGCTCCATCACTTGCTATCTTTATGATCTTGGGAAACTATTTCATTAGTTTACCCATATACAAAATGGGAATAGTAACATACCTACACCTAAACCATAATCTTGTTATGGGAACGAAGTAAGTGAATGCATGTAAATCACCCAGTACAATGCCTACCCAGTCCAGAGTGAGTTCTCAGCAGTAACGTGTGACAATAACCTTACTCCTATGTAAGGAGCCTGACACACAGTAAGCTTGAAATATTAGTTACCTTATTGTGTGACAAGGTTTTTCTCCACTTTGGTTAAAATGATCAATTGTTAAAATGCAATTTTAAGTGTTTATTATAATAGAAATTAGACAATAGGAATCATAAAGGGCATAAATCTATAGATAAAGAAACTGGGGTCTATCAGTGTTAAATTATAGTTATGATTAAGTAGTAGGATTAGACCCAGACTCCAGGCCTTCTGACTCCTGCTTTCATTCTTGGTCTTGGTATCCGACTCTAACTTTTTCTTTTTATTTTATTTATCTTTAGAAAAGGGAGGAAGAAAGAGAGGGAGAGATACATCAATGCGTGGTTGCTTCTCACACACCCGCTACTGGTCTACAACCCAGGCATGTGCCCTGAGTGGGAATCGAATCAGTGACCCTTTGGTTTGCAGTCCAGTGCTCAATCTATAGAGCCACACCAGCCAGGGCTGACTTAACTCTTTAAAACCCTTTCATAGGTGATTCTCTAGTTAATAGGATGAAAACAAAGTACTGCTGATCCAAATAACACACATACTAGTAGTATTTCACAGCACAACGAGGGCAGTTCTGAAAGCTCTGGGCATACATTCCTGAGCCTGATACAGACGTTGCCTGTCCCCACCCTGAGCGGTTCAACTATATAAAGTTATTAACTAATTAGTTAACTAGAAAACTATGAAAATCAGAACATTTCATTCCCTTGGCAAAAGATGGGGTTTCTAAAACTAAAAGGACATGTGATGGAGAAGCGATGAG